GACTTCTGCTTGTGCTGTTGATTCAATTCTACCACTCCTTTGTTAACAGCATTATACACCACAGATAGTCTCTCACATAAAAAGTCAATGGAGCTGCTTGCAGAATTAAGAATTATTCATCATGGAAGAATGAAGCCTGAATTGCTTGTTAACTGCATGGTACTATGGCACCCTTACTTTTGCATATTGTATGACTTCCTAAATTTCAGCAATGCGTATTACATAAACAGCAAGCATAGGAAAAGTAACTGGAATATGGAAATGTAGAAATGAAAATATACCCTTAGACTAAACTAACCCCATTACCACCATCAGTGGAAGCTAGATCCTCTGAATCCAGGCTAGGCTATAAAAGGGAAGAATGTTAGTTCTACTACATCATCTTCACCCTTCCTTAGAAATTGTGGAAAACACAGGCCATGGCCACTCTGACATCCCCCTCCCACAGCCACACAGGACTTTACTTGTAAATTATGGTAACCATGTCAATATAAATTAATTTGCTTGCCCCCTACGCAAAACCCCTTTCCCCATTCCAAGCAAGGGATTTTAGCAGGAGCAATGTTGTGAAGAAACAAGAGGGGGGCAAGGGCACACCAGGCATCAATAGAGGCACAAAGCCTTTGTGCATATTGCCCTTGCCTCCAAGAATCCACTAGTTTTGAGAGTTGCATCTCTTCTTTCGGAGACAAACCATACTCCATCCAAAACTAGAACGTGACCAACTTTCAGCAAATATAAACTTGTAAAGGCAAGGCCAGAATCAAATAATCAGGAAATCTAGTTCTACATAAGGCATTTCACTTTATCTTTAAAGATTTGTTTCTAGCTCATTTATTCAATACTGATAGGAGATAAAATTACAGGCAAAGATGCAATGATCTTTTAAGGCTGAAACCCATGGATGCATGTGTGTATGTAAGCTTTAATACTGTACCACTAGCATTTTAAATACTGAGCTCACTGCCCACATAGTGATGATAAACCATTGTACAATTTGGCCTATTTTAGTTTTATTTTCTGGCAGCAGTTTCTGCCAGGAAGATCCAATTCAAAAGCCACTAGTCCTAAAGTCGTTTCATGCATCATACTGACAGATTAAATCTGTTCCTTGGCATTTTGTAGCACATCTTGTTCTTCATCATAGCCTACTGTATAGTACCACTACAGCTGTTTCTTTTCTCTGAAGTATTTGAGCTTTGTTTATAAACACTTAAACATTAGGATTTTCTAAACTAAAAAAACAGGCTTCTTTCCTGAATAAGAAACTCCAGCATTCAATGCATGGGCTCTATTGTTCTCTCTACCCTTTCAGTGTTTTGTTTTGGTTTTTTTTTTACATTCATCTCATATAAATGTCACTACACAATCTGTTAAAAAAAATCCCTGTATTTATTTCCTTTCTGCATTACTCTGTCAGTCCTCCTTTTATCCCCTTCTCTCTCACCTCTGATAGATGTATACGTTCCTTATAATTCTACCCAACAAATAACAGCAGCGGCAGCACTTTTTTATTTTTTCACTTTTACATATGCCAATCATCACAGGATTTAGAATGACCCTTTCACCACAGTCTACACATCTCCTGTAACTTGATGCAAGGGGATCCTCTAAATATTCATAAACTCTTGAAAAAGGACTGTCTGGTTTCGTGCATCTCTAAGCAAGTTCAACAGGACTGTGACCTCAAATGAAGTTTACGTGCACTAACATAGTATAAATGATTAACACCACAGAGCTTAAAATTCAAAAGAAGAACAATGTTGTACTGGTGTAAAGAAACCAAGTTACCCCCATTCTCCCTAATTCTCAAGTCTGAAAACACCATTTTCTACCAAAAATTAAAACAACTGACTTCAGTATAACTACATACATGCTTAAGTTTAATCAAGTACATAAGCATTTCACTGAACTCTAACCAGCTCAGCACACTTCAGGATCAAATCCATGATGTCCTGCTTTGGATACTCTCTATCCCATGCTACTGTTGTCTAAGAAAATCCTGGGATGTGGAAAAAACAGTTTGAAATGCCACAAGTGCTGTTGCAGCCAAGAAACTGTAGCTATTTGCAAAGGAGAAGGCTGTAAACCCTGCTTGATCTATAGAAGCTGTATCAACATGGCATACTTAAAAAATAAAGAAATTTAGTTAGTGATATTTGGTTTTGCTATATGGGCTACCAGATAGGAACTCCAAGCCTTCTTCACAAAAATTAGTCACAGTTCGTCATATGTCTGTGGGTTAGGTATTGTCAAAATTTCTAAAAGGTATTTGGCACCTAATTCCCATTAAAATCATTCATTTAATGGGAGTGAAGCTCCTTCTAAAATACCTCCTGAACTCTGGTCCGCAGTGCTGGAGGCTAATCTTATTGAAGTCCGAGGTAAAAGTCCCACCGACTTTTCATAGCACAGGATTAGGCTGACAAGAAATAAGAAGATCCAAATGGGGCAATCTAAATTCTGTAGAGGGGACCACAAAAGACTGAAACTAGCCTATGAATATAAGTACCCATTATAGGTTCCTCTGAAAATCAATTCTCAAAGAATTTAAATCTGAATATTCAATTGGACAAAAAAAAAATCCTCTTTCTTCAAAATTGATAGTAGGCCCAGTAATGCAGTCCTTCCTCAGTCTAAACTCCTAACTGCATCAAAATACCTTCCCTCCTGAGTAAGGACAACAGAGAAGAAGCTATTATTTTTCATTTAATTTCCCCCTCAAGTTTCTTTAATTCCCCCATGACGGTTAGCAGCTGATTTGCCACCCTTCCGGTCTTTCTATATTCTGCATTTTTAGTGTAGCTATTTTCTGAGAGTGAATTACAGTCCTGATTCTGCTACAATTCAAGCTGACAAAGAGTCTTGCTTAGAACTTAAATGGGAAGAGAAACAGAAATAAATAACTGGGGGGGGAGCTACAGTGGATTTACCCCAGCAGATAATAACCTATCAAGAGCATTTTGGGGCCAAGAACCGAAGTGACATGTAGGGAATTCCATAGGTGTGATAAACCTTCAGTATCTGAAGACACCAAAGGAAATGAAGATAAAGCAGAATCAGAGTAAAGAAACAAAAATAAAGCTAATGTCTGATCATTTTGGCCACTTCTATCAAATGGTTCTCTCTCTAGGTGCTGTATTCTATAAGATGAGAACAAAAATGAGTAAGTGGACCAAGGGTTGGATTCTACACAGCAATTTCTATATTCTTAAATGCGAGTCCAAAAATCTAAGTTTGTCCATTCGGTGAAGGCTCAGTTCTTACTGTATGAAAAGTCAGCCAATGACACAAAAAGAGGATCAATGTACCTAGTTCTGCATGGTACTGAAGGCTTTCTGAGAGATGCTGAACACCCTCCACTGCCATTTTAGACAAAAAGGTGTTTATTCAAGTAGATCAGGAAGAAAATGGACAAAAGAAAACGTCTCTTGAAGAGTAACATCTTATCTTCCCCCCACCACCTTTTTGAGGGTTTTTAGCTTTTATAAAAACCCTGACACTTGACGAGAATGGGGAATGACAGAATCTATTCCCTATATTCCCTGCTACAATGAGAGGCAACTATTTGTTAATAATCTAGAGTTTTCATCACCTACTAATCTTTTGTTCTACGTGCTAGAAATCAAGTGATTTCATAGAATCCACAAGAAGTAGGGCTGAAAGGGACTGCCAGGGGTCATCCAGTCCAACCCCCTGCCTGAGGAAGGATAACTACTGCAAATAACTATTCTTATTATTGTGGAAGTTTTGACTTTTATTCCTGCGAAAACAAAAGGCAGGGCCTCAAACAGGAACAACAAATCCATGTAATTTCCACTTTTTTAGGCCACAGTAGGAACAGCCATACAAATGCATCACTGCTCTCAACCACCTAGAGTCTGCCTTCTGAATCTGCGAAGCCATTTCTGTTTAAATACAGCATGTGTCAAGTTCCTCTGTTTGAAAGCCAGCATCTCAGTGTTAATGTCCACAGTGACACACGCTGGTTGTACCAGGCAAGAACACCACCATGGAGAGATCCCGTTATAGAAGCCCTCTGGTGACTGAATAGGTGTTTGATATATGATCTCATTAAAAGCAAGTGAGGGGAAAAAATCTGGAAAAAGAATTTCTACCTCTCTCAGATAAGGATGGTGCTGTAGAGGCAGCACAGCCTCTTCTTGCCTGTTGCACCAGCAAACATTTGAGACCAGGATTTAAAAAAAAAAAAAAGACTCCTAACACAATCATTGACACCAGCAAGCAATGCTCTTTCTTTTAAAACTGCAGAATGATGCACGGCATTCTGCTCACTCCTCCACAGATTAAACCATCTTTCCTGCTCTGCTTTAGCCACCATGAAAAAAGCCCGTCCTAGCATCTTCCATGGTGGGGGGGGGAGACCTGCTTTCAAGCACCCACCCCCTCAGCCTCAAAGCATCTTTTAAAGGAGGATGGAGATTTATTTCCACCCAATTTATCCTCCTCCGCTGCGTGATTTAAAAATCCGGTCACCTTTCAAAACTCCAGCAAAGGGAGGGTTTAAAAGGTGGGTCAGTCAAAAGACCTGATTTCTAGAGGAGGCTTCGGGAGGAAGCGCCACAAAGGGAGTGGTGCCAGGAGGCACGAGGCTAAGGCTTGCGATGCGGGGCCGGCGCGCGGAGCAGTACCACTCACTGATCGCCCCGCAGCCCTGCTCTGCCTCTTGCGAGGGCGGGACGGCAGGGGTCCGCCCGCTCCAGCCCCGCCCGGGCCGCTCAGGCAGCGAAACTTTGCGGGAGCCGCGGCTCAGCTGGGGCCGAGGCCGCACTGCCGCTCCCCGTCACCCGCCAAGCGGCCAAGCCATCTGCTCCCGGCCCTCCCGCCGGACGCTCATTAAGTGTCTGGCAATCAACAACAAAAAAAGGGTGGGGGTAGTGATGCAAGGCAGGCGGCGGGAATGGGGGCGCGGGGAGCGCGCTTTGTGGCCGCACGTGTGCACGGGGGGAGCTGTCAAAGTTGAGCCCGAGCGCCCGTACCTTGGAAGAGGAAGGCTTTGCTCCCGTTGTGCAGCCCCGGGACCTGCAGCACCCCCGCCGCCTCTCCCGGCCGGAGCTCGGACAGCACGTCGATCTGCAGCGCCGGGTCCACGCCGAAGCCTGCAACTGCCCCACAC